ATAATACACAAAGCAAGTGATGCACAGTACAATTGCTCACCACCCGCCGACCGATGCCCAGCCAGTCCCCGAGCAGCGGCCCCCCCGGCCAGCTTCCCCCAGTTTATGTACTGAGCATGACGTCACATGGTATGGAATGTCCCTTTGGCCAGTTTGGCTGTGCCCCCTCCCAGCTGTTTGTGCACCTCCAGCCTTCTCAGTTGGTAGAGCATGGGAAGCTGAAAAGTCCTTGGCTAGTGTAAGCACTACTTAGCAACAACTAAAACATGGGTGTGTTATCAACATTATTCCCATCCTAAATCCAAAACACAGCACTGTACCAGCTACTGGGAAGGAAATTAACTATCCCTGCCGAAACCAGGAGAGTTAGCAGCACACCGGGGGATAAACACATGTGGAGTGAAAACGCGTGTGGACAAAACACACATGGGAATAAAACTCACATGGGATAAACTCCTGCAGACAAACAAAAGTGTGGGAATGTACTCACGTGTACTAAACACACATGGGTATGACCTCACATGGGGATAAATGCAGCCAGGTATGAACTCCCGTGGCAGAAACACGTGTGGCTATGAACTTGCGTGGGGTAAGCACTCCTGGGGAGAAACTCACGTGGTGCAAACTTGGGTCAGGGTGCGTGGGTATGAAACACACGTGGAGAAACACGTGGGGGGACATGCATGGGAGGATCGTGCGTGGGGATGACCTGCACCAGGGGGCCTGCCTGGGATAACCCACACCAGGATAATCCACACCAGACAGCCCACCTGGGATAACCCACACCAGGTAATCCATGCTGCGTAACTCATCCGGGATAACCCACACTGGATAACCCACACCAGGTAATCCACCTGGGATGACTCACAGCGGGTAACTCACCCACACCGGACAGCCCGCCCTGGATAATGCACGCTGGATAACCCTGTTACCGAAGTCGGCAAATTGAAAACTCTGTAAGGCTCCATTTGGAGTTTTAGAAAGCAGGCATTCTTTATCGCGGCGCTGGGCGCACCCAGTGTGCGCACCGAGTTGCTCAACTACAGAAGTTATGTACAGTTAGAACATACATATTCATTAGATTTCTGAGAAATGATTAACATATTCAGGTTATTGCCTGGAACTCATTAACATATGTAAAAGTCTTTGACGCATGCACTCTTATGTCCATTGGTGGTCTTTCAGGGTCCTCTGGTGGTCGTCAACAGTCTTCCTCACCGTGTCTTCGCGGATGCAGAGTTTGTTCTTTGGCTGGGTTGCGCATTTTGCTTACACAAACTAGCTTATTTCAGCACAGCTTCCTTATCTATTCTACGCCAAGATACAAAGTTTCAAGGTCTTCTTTTGCCTACTGAACGTTTAGCTCACCTATTCACAGGGTGCTTCTACTGAAGGTTTAGCTTATCTACAGAGTACGTCAAACTTGGCTCCATTACGCCAAGAAAGAGAACCGTATGTCTCTTCAGTATTCCTTTATACTCGCTATCGACCCACCCAGGATAACCTACACCAGGATAACCCTCACAGGGTAACCCACCTGGAAGAACCTACGCCACAATGACCCACCCAGGATAACCCACACCAGAGAATCCAGGCGGGACAACCCACCCGTGGTAATCCACACTGGGTAACTCCCCTGGCCAACAGGCTGTGTTACACCTGCGATGTTACGCGGACAGCGGAGCACACGGACACGTGTTCTGTGCAGCGGAAAAAGGTGGGTCTTGTCAACGGCAGGACCCTGCCCGGCACACGCTGTACTCATCGATGCTTTGTGCCTGTCAGGCCTTTATTTGCCCGATGAGCACACTTGCCAAAATCACGCCACTTAAAAAGATTTCACAGACGGGGCCCCTACAACAGCTGTATTAAAAATACTAAATTTAAGAGTGGATGCTTGGTTAGAAGCCATGGCAGATCACAGCAGTATACATTAAAAACTGGAAAGCTGTCGCCGCCTTCGTTGTTTGCTTCATCACCCTCTTATCTTGCGATGTATTTATACTCTTTGGGGGCACCTTCAATGCTTACATTTTACTAATGGATTGAATGCCCGATACTCACTGCTCAGGTCAAGTCGCTGTGGATTTCTTAGTGATGTAATAGATTCGGGGAGCTGGCCGATATGATTATCATTTGCAATTAAACGGACCACATACTCCAGTTCCCCTGTGCTGGCTGGAATCTCCTTTAATGCATTGTGAGAGATGACCAGTTCCCTGAGGCAAACCAGTTTAGATAGCTCCTCTGGAATTTTAGTTAACTGATAAAGAAATAAAACCATTTGTTTAGATACAACTCCTCCTCTTCCGCAAAAAGTTTAAAAGGTAACTTTCCTGTAGGCAAAATAATATCCCATAATTTACTTCCAACAGTAAAAGCTTCTGACCTTCGATTCTAGTGGAAGCTAACTTGGTATTTTCCAATAAAAATATAGATGCTGAGCACAGAAATTTGCAGGGAAGCTTTTCAGACATGATAATAGAAAGGCACTAAAAACCATGCAGTAGAATAATACCTCCACAGCTGCAGCTTTGGAAGTTCTTCTGGTCATTGTTATCATGAATGAAAAATTTTATCCTCTCAGAACACTCTAATTTTATTTTCTGTCTTCCTCAGGCACAAGAAAATGAAACGTATTTTCTTCTTTTTCATTCTGTTCTTACTTTGGTCTTTTGTAATTTTTATTTTCCTTCTTGGAACTTCAACTGTTCTCCAATTACTGTGGAAACTAAAGCTACAGCTCTCTGGGAAACGGATGTAAGATCACATACATTTTGCTCCTGGGTCTGAAGAAAGCCAGCCCTTGGAAAGGATCATAACCTCACAACCACATTCAAAATCGTATCAAGAAATATGAGCCTTTTCTGAAATTGGGTATGAAATACTGATTTTGCAAATTCTGGTGAAAAGAGATATTTAAATGCCTAACTCATCAGGAGATTGTTTTGCCCCGTTCCTTAGTATAAAAAAAAAAAAAGAAACTAAACTGAAGCAATTTTCTCTGCTTTAACAAATCAGGGATCCAATATAGCTTTTCTTGTTTGAATCAGTGAAAGTTTAATGACCAACTAATTTTAAGAAGTACAACATGAGTTGGAAGGATTTGTTCATTTCACAGAGAGGAATCTTGGAGGCAGGTTTATCTACCAAATTCCAGCTAGCCGTTTTGTCTCTTGATATCCATCGGGATGGAAAATACCTACATTCCTAATAGTACTAGAAAAATAAAAAATAGATGATCTGTTTCAGATCAATCAGATTATCAAGCTATCACCTTAAGATATACCTCAATAACACTATATAAAGTGAGGTTCACGTCTAGTATTTCTAATTAAAAGTGCATCGTAGTAGATTTTTGTCCAGTTCTGATATTAAAAATAGGTAAATATGTACACGTATTTGCCTCTCTAGAAACTATTTCTCTGCTCTTTGTTTACCTTAGGTGTATTCAAACACAGGAGCATTTACATCTGTTAGGAGGAAGTCTGTTAATAATAGTTTTGCAGCACAACAACCTGCGCAACACAAGTTTTTCTTACCTAAAGGAAATGTTCTCTGACCTTCAACCCATTCACTCGACACACTGTCAATGTCTCCAGTGAAGAAAGATGACATATTTCAGAAGGAAAAGATGCAAACCGGTTGTTTGATACATTTAGGTCTTTGATCACTTCCAGATTGCTAATCTGCAAGTTTTTAAACACTTTAAAGAACACAGTTCTTCAGGAAATGAGTCAAACTCATTATGGTGGAACAGCAGTGCCTGGAGACCCTTCATCTCAGACACCACTGCTGGCATGCTGTTGATCTCATTCTCACTTACATCCACGTAAACTAGTTTTGTAAGGCTACACAAGCATGCAGAAAATGAGGACCATTTGTTTGTGTTTAACTCCAGATGCTCCAAATCAGAAATTCCAGGTATTATTTCTAAAATAGAGTTGCCACTAAGATTTAAGGGTTTAAGATCAAATAGTGCCCACAGTGTATTTGGAAACTGAGAGCTTATTATTGCTGAAGTCAGCACTGGTTATCCATATCCAATTTTTTAATTCAACAGGAATGTATGTTAATGCGTTTCCAGAAAACTCTATTTTGGAGAGGTCTTTTAAACGTGGTATTTGTTCATCCAATGAGTCCAGTCAGTTTCTACTTAAAGAAAACTCCTTTAAATGTTTAAGGCTGTGACTGTTAGCAGGAAGCTGGGTTAATTATTACGTATAATGGATGTTTCAACATGGTACAGTTTCAAAAATTATCTGTAATACTCTTGAATAATTTTTTTGCAAGGTTCAGAAACCTAAGTTCTCATGAATTCTCCACTTCATCTGAAACAAACTCCAATTTGTTATCGTCAACTCTGAGTTCTTTTCGTCAACCAGAAAAGCTGCACAGGCAAAAATACAAGCTTACTGTTACAATTGAAAATACTTGTTGTTTCTCGATCACTTTAACATCCTTTGGTAAACTCCGAATCAAGTTCTCACACATGCTGAGATCAGGAAAATAGCAGCGATTACTAGATTAGGAAGGTAGCAGAGAACCCTTGGGAATATTGAGATTTGTTTGGAATCAATGTTGAGTACCTTCAAATTTTTCATGTCGGCTATGGTATCTGGCAAAGTTTTTAGCTTGTTCTCTGAAAGCTCTAAAGCTTCAATTTTTTTCAATGCAAAAGAAATTCATCAATATTGTTGTGCCTGAGAAAGAGTTCCTTAATATTTACAAGCTTTGACAATTCTTTAGGGAGACGTGATAACTGGTTGTGACTGACATTCAGTACCATCAGTTTATGAAGTAAGGGTATTGCTGGTGGCAACAGCGTCAGGATTTCCAGATTAGATTATCTGTATTTGAATGCAATGTTTTTATTTCATTGTTGTGTAAGAGCAAATATTTTAAATTTGGGGTTTCAAAAGCAAGCAGAGGCATGTTCCCTAGTCCTTTATCATTTAGTCTAAGTGTGAAATTCTCATCTTTTCTTCAGGCAACATATATGTTGATCCATTTTCATCCCTTTCAGGATTCATTGCTGATAGTACTATGTCTGGTCTGGCATCTCCACTGAGAGCTTCTGAAAGGATTCGGCTTAGTTCTCCAGTATCCTTTTCAGCTGATGTCAGTAGCGTGTGTTTTCTCACACCTGTTTCAGAGACACCCTGAGGCATTGTGGCAGCATTTATCTCAGCTGAGAATTCACATTCCTACCTTTTTCCAGGTAAATCACCATCTATTTTCTGTCATTTTATGGCTTTCCTCATTGCCAGCTGCTTTAGGAACTTCATGTGAAATATCACTCAAACTTTTCATCATTAGGTCAGCTACTTTAGGATTCTCTGATGAATGTAATTAGTTTTTCCTGGCATCATTAACTGGAACCTCATGAAAGCTTTTGTTTAGTCCTTGTGTATTTAGACCACTTGAATTTCATCTTCTTCCTTCTCCAGAGACATTGTTCCTTTTTCTGGGTTGTTAATTGATTCTTATCAGTATTTTTTAAGAAATCAAACTGTAAGTGTGAAATCTATATGGAATAATATGTTTTAACATTAGTAGACCAAGCTAGCAATTGTAAAAGATCTTGATAAAAAACTAGTCTTCCACATTTGTGAACTTTCCCACTTCTCTGTTTACCCCCAAAAAGGGATTACTTTGCTGCAGTGCTTGCTAATTTAATACCTTGTTTTTCCAGACAATAGACTACAGATCACAAAACATACATCACAAATATGTGATTTGTTGCTTGACATTTCATAGAATAGCCCAAGCTGTCTCGGACAACTGACAATGCTCAGCTTAGTGGATATTTCAGAGTTTTCTACAGCTCTGTTTGCATGTTCTTCCTGCTTTAAACTTTACTATGTTAAACTTTTGTTCTCTTGCACTAGTGATGCATCATCATAAACAATATTTTCCCAACTTCACTTGACTGCCTGTTGACAAACCAAAAGGATTAGTTGGTTTTTTCCTCCCGCCTTACAGGCAGATTTATACCGTCTTATGTTGTAGGTCTTCAAACACAAGTCCCTCAAATAGATCTACATTTTTTCCTAGTTTCTTTAATACAAGTCTTTCTGCTGATGGGGTAAAGTTGTACAAAATTATTATAATATCCTTACCCCACAGAAATAAAAAAGCTTTAAGGGTCAAGCGGAACCTTTGCAAGCCACATACATTGTTTCCGTTGAGCGTGTACCTGCATTTTTTCAGGAACAGCCTCTTTTCTGAAGCATACCTAGCTGTGAGCTAACTAACAACGGTATGGAAACCCCCGCCTTTCTAGAGTAACTTTTCCCTGTCAGCAAAGCAGCAGCAGGAGGACATCTGGGCTGCGTGAGGGGTTTCCCTCAGGACCAAGGCCTTCCTCTCGGACAAGCCGCTGCCTTCCCCGTGCCGCAGGCAGAACCAGGCCCTGAACTCAAACAGCTCCCGACCGGGGGGGTGAAGGAAGCTGGCACCCCATCTCAGCACCCCCCTCAGCCACCACCACACCAAGCCCTGGCGCTAGGGAC